CCCCCGCCCCACCCCCCCCCCCCCCCCCAGAGCCGGGTGGGGACCCAGGCGTCCGGACTCCCAGTGTCCCCGCCTCTCAATTGTCCCCCATCTGCAGCCTGCCCCCCAGCCCCCTCCCGCCTGCCCTACCCTGCGCCCCCACGCCTTGCACGCCCATGTCCCTTTGCACACGCGTGCCACACGCTGCGTCAGGAACGCCTGTGCCTGCTGGAGCCCGGCGGTGCCCTAGAAACGCCCGTCCCGGTCCCCAGAGCCGGCTCTCCTGACCCACTAACGGGAGCCGTTACACAACGGCGCACGGCGGGGTCAGGCCGCCCCATCACACCCCGCCGGGGAGGGCCTGGGATGCGGCCTGGCCCAGGCCCTCTGCAGTCTCACCCTCTGCCGCCTGGCCCCTTGCCCCAGGGGTAGTGGCATTCACTGCCCTAGAAACGCCCGTCCCGGTCCCCAGAGCCGGCTCTCCTGACCCACTAACGGGAGCCGTTACACAACGGCGCACGGCGGGGTCAGGCCGCCCCATCACACCCCGCCGGGGAGGGCCTGGGATGCGGCCTGGCCCAGGCCCTCTGCAGTCTCACCCTCTGCCGCCTGGCCCCTTGCCCCAGGGGTAGTGGCATTCACCCCCTCACAGCGCCTGGCACCCTCCGGTGGCCCAGCCCCCAGGTCCTCACCGCTGCCCTGTGAGCACACGTTGCACATGTATGCACGTGGGCATCACACATGCACCCCTGCACTCCCAGCATATGTCTGCGTCCACACACCCTGAGTGTCTCTGTCCCCAGTGCATGCTTGCCCATGTCTGCTGTTCCATGGCTTCTGATGGTGCACACATGTGATGGCACACACATGCTAGTGCACACATGATAGTGCATACATGATGATGTGCACGTGATGGTATACGCTGGTAGTGATGCGCACACACAGTTGGAACATGAGATGGTATGTGCTTGTGGTGGTGCACACATGTGATAGTGTCTGCCCACAGAGTGCACACATGATGGCACACAGTTGTGATGGCTCACATTTGTGGTGGTGCACACACATGGTGTGGTGGTGCGCATGCTTGTGGTGGTGCACACACCACACTTGTGCACACATGATGGTGGTCAAATGATGGTGTGTACACTTGATGTATACACCTGCTGTGGTGATGCACACATGTAACTGCACACTTATGATGGTGCACACACATGGTGGCATACACTTGTGCAAGCTAGTGATCCTGTTCCCAGTCACTGCACACAGGCTGCCCTGGGCCTGCTGGGTCTGGCCCTGTGCGTACACACTCTACACAACCCTGAGCATGCATGCCTACTGTCATGCAGGTGGTGACAAACCCCTGCAGTGACCCCTGCCCCTGTTGCCCCTTGACTTCTGTCTAGGACAGGGACCAGCTGTGGGGGATGCATGGAGGAGCTCAGACCTAGGGTGTGAAGGAGGGGTAGAGCTTGGGGTATGGGGGTAGGAGGGAAGGAGAGGGGCTGGCACCATAGAGAGCAGGGAGAGTGGGGACAGCTCTGGGGGTCAAGAGCAGAGGCTGGTGATGTCTGTCAGTCTCAGTGTGGGGCGGCTGGGGGCACTGACACAGAAACTGGGGCAGGGCGTAGACCAGGGCACTGGAGGCAGGTGCACAGGGCAGGTGCCAGGGGTAGGTGCATGGGTCACTTGGGGCAGGGGCTGGAGCAGCTATAGGACCAGGTGCCAGGGCTGGGATACAGGTGCGTGGGACACATGGGGCAGGTGCCAGGTCGAGAGCAGGTGCACAGTGTACTGGGGCAGGGGCTGGAGCAGTGGCAGGAGCGGGTGCCGGGGCCGGGGGGCAGGTCGGGAGCAGGTGCATGGCGCAGTGGGGCAGGTGTACAGAGCACTGGGGGCAGGGCCCGGGGGCAGGTGTACGGGACACTCAGGGCAGGGGCAGGGGGCAAGTGCAGGGAGCACTTGGGGCAGGGGCTGGAGCAGTGGCAGGAGCGGGTGCCGGGGGCAGGTGCCAGGGCCCGGTGCACGGGGCACTGGGGCAGGGGCCGGAGGAAGGTTCACGGGGCT